GCGGGGAAAAGCGGTGGGAGGAACTGGGAGAGCGAAGAGGACCACCATTGCTCCCTCTCTGACCCCGCCCCCACATACAGCATCACAAACCAGCACCCTGGGTGGCCCCGCCCTGGTAAACAACTAAGGCTCCACTCCTCATATGTAACAGGCACAAACAGATCAAAATATGGCTCAAGAACAACTCAGAGCCCCAGAGCCAATAAATCTAAGTGATGAAGAAATAGCCAAACTTTCAGATGCACAGTTCAAAACACTGGGATAGGCTGCTCACAGAACTGGTTGATTTTAGTCACAAATTAGAGGAACATATGAAGGCTAAACTAATTGAAATGAACGGTAATGCACAGGAAACCAATAGTGATGGAAAGGAAACTGGGACTCAAATCAAGGGAGTAGACCAGAAGGAAGAAGGAAATGACCAAACAGAAAAGAATGAAGAAACAAGAATTCAAAAAAATGAGGAGAGGCTTAGGAACCTCCAGGACATCTTTAAACGTTCCAACATTCGAATTACAGGGGTACCAGAAGGGGAAGAGGAACAGTCACGAGTGGAAACCTTATTTGAACAAATAATAAAAGAGAACTTCCCCGTTCTGGCAAAGGAAATAGACTTCCAGGAAATCCAGGAAGCTCAGAGAATTCCAAAGAAGTTGGACCCAAGAAGGAACACACCAAGGCACATCATCGTTACATTAGCTAAGATTCAAATGAAGGAGAGAATCCTAGAAGCAGCAAGAGATAAGGGGACAGTCACCTACAAAGGAGTTCCCATCAGACTGTCAGCGAATTTCTCAAAAGAGACCTTACAGGCAAGAAGGGGCTGGAAAGAGGTATTCCAAGTCATGAAAACCAAAGACCTACAACCAAGATTGCTCTATCCAGCAAAGTGTCCATTTAGAATGGAAGGACAGATAAAGTGCTTCTCAGATAAGACCAAATTCAAGGAGTTCATCATCACCAAGCCCTTATTATATGAAATATTAAAGGGACTTACCTAAGGAAAAGAAGATAAAAAAGATGAACAGTGAAAGGACAGCAAACTCACAGTTATCAACAACCACACCTAAAACAAAAGCAAATTAAGAGGACAGCTAGATCAGGAGTGAACCATAGAAATGAAGATCACGTGGAGGATTAGCAACAGGGGAGTGGGAGATGGAGAAGGGGGGAGAAGGTACAAAAAATAAGTAGCATAGACAGTAGACAGAAAATAGATAGGGGGAGGGTAAGAATAGTAAGGGAAGTTCTAAAGAACTTGAGACACGTATTCATGAACTAAAGGGGGGATGGTGGGGGAGGGGTGTGCAGGGTGGAGGAGAATAGAGGGGGGGAATAGAACAAATGTAATGGCATAATCAATAAAAAAATAAAAAATAACCTTAATTACTCCAAAAAAAAAAAAAGAAGCATGATGCTTCCAGGAGGGGAAAGAAAGGGTCTTACACATCCTTTTCTTTCTTAGTTCTAAAGTGGTGGGTATAGGTCTCCTTTTATTGGTTTGAAGTAGTCTAACCATTGCCAAAGAACGAGCAAAGGAAATTATATGCGCATGCTGTCCTCCTAAAATGCCAACTCCTTTGTGAGCTGTCTTGACTATTCAGAAGGCATAGCTTTCTTCTCTACACTCCATTATGTAATTTATGCCTCCATTAATATTTGCAAACTATTTTCGATGTGAGTAATGTGTTTACAATGTTTCCCTCTCTTATTAAACGGTAAACTTCCACAGCTCCGGACAAACTCATTATCTTTCTGGTCCTCACTGCCAAGCAGAATGCTTTATAATGGTAGGTGCAAAATAAATGTTTGATGAATGCATATATATGGTGGTGTCAGCTTTATGATGACTGGAAGTTATGATGATTTTAAGAGTTCTAGTAGAAGTTGGATGCAGCCCTGGCTGGTATGGCTCACTTGGTTGGAGTGTCATCCCATAAACCAAAAGATGATGGGTTTGATTCAAGGTCAGGGCACATGCCTGGGTTGTGGGTTCAGTCCCTGGTTGGGGTGCAAATGAGAGACAACTGATCAATGTTTCTCTTTCACATCAGTGTTTCTTTCCCTCTCTCTCTTCCTTCCTTCCCCTATCTCTAATAAAAAGCAATATTAAAATCAATAAGCACATCCTCTGATGAGGATAAAAAAAAAGTTGAATGCAAACAGAATAAAGAAACCACACTTTTTGAAAAAAGATTTTATTTATTTATTTTTAGAGAGAGAGGGAGAAAGGCAGAGAAACATCAATGTGTGAGAGAAACATCAATGGGTTGCTTCTCAGCCCACACCCAGGCATGTGCTCTGACTGGGAATTGAACCAGTGACTCTTTGGTTCATAGTCCAGCACTCAACACACTGAGCCACACCAGTAGGGCAGAAACCACACTTTTTACTTAGATGCTCCTTCCACTCTAATGTCTTTTTTCTGTGTTTGGTATCATTGTATATACATTGAAGAAGGAGATGCATCTAGAAATGTCCTCCTGGGAATATATTTTATATTTAATATGTCTATTTTTATAACTCTCAAGTAAACCATATTTTGAAGAAGATTTTCAAGGTTAAACTGAACCTGATGGAGAGAGTTTCAGTTAAACAAACGGTATCTCTACTTCCTGTGACATAGTGTGCTGTCAGATGCCTGAGAAGCAACTCCAAGATTCTGAAATCTGACAGCATGACTCCACAAGACTCTACTAACTAGGTATTGCCTACATAAAATGATCAAGAAGAGGAAAAGAACACCTTGAATTTCTTTTAACTGAGAAGAAAAAAAAGGTCTTTAGTTCTCAAAAAACAAGGGTCTAACTAGAGACCGATTAATGAGAAGTGACAATTATTTCAGGTACAAAAAGCGAAATGTGTCTAAAGAGAGAATAGTCAACTCTAGGCAATGAAAGTCATGTCAAATAAGATATCTTACTCCTCTATTTTCATCTGTTTCACATTTTACAGGGTTTGGCAAAACTTTAACAACTGGTTACTTGGAAATTTCTAAGCAGTGATCAATTTCTACCACAATGTACATTTTTCCTTTCCAAAACAAACAAAATACTTGGCTTTGACAGAGACAGTTTCCAATCTCTTATCACCGAAAGATACAAAAGAAGCTGGGAAGTTGTCTGAATATCATACAGCACTTTTGAGTTCATTAGGCCATTATTCTTAGGTCCATAATCAAAAGATGTACAAGCTCAAAAGCTTTTAGGTGACAGGATTTGGGGATTTTTGTGTTTTAGTTATAAACCAGGATCACAGAAAAGTAATCAGAAACTAGACTGGCCAGAGATATGAAAGAGCCTTGAAATAAGAGGTGTGAAACCATAGGTTGTACTTGTGAGTTGTTCTCTTAAGCTTAAGGACTTTAAGCAAATTGCTTAAACTCTAAACTGTAAGTAAAAGACTAGACTTTGATGATTTCTAGAGCCTACTGTGACTTATCAATTTTTTATTGTCTAATATTATACCTTAAGTTATGAATTGGTTCATTTACATATCTATTTGGATACCTTCAATGAACATAACAAAGGACGGTGTCATCGAGGAGTTAAGTCAGTGGGAAAAGTGAAGGCTTTATCCATAGCTCCTAAAACAGATGCTCATTATCCATTCTAGTTCTAAACCAGGGTTACAAGGAAACCAATAGGGAAGGAGGATAGAAAGGAGTAGGAGAAACCCCATAGCTCCTAGGAGGAAGAGAGGTTAATTAATTGTTTCAGTTTGGCAATATTTATTGAATGATCACTGTGTACCTGGCACTGTACTGGGCACTGGGGATCCTGGGGTAACCCTGATAGACCAGACCTCTAAGGAAGTTTACTTACATTCTAGGAGGTGGAGAGAGGAAAAGCAGGCTAGTAAATAAATACGTAAATAAAAACCCAGACTACAAGAAGTTCTATGAAGGAAGTAGTAACAATGAGACAAAATAACTGTATTTGGGGGAAGGTATGTCTGGCTGGACTGCCAGTAGCACAGGGCAGAGGGGGAAAGCTCTTTGGAGATGGTGGTAGTTGACTGAGCTAAGAGTTGAAGACAGATGAGTATGAATACAGCCAGCAAAGAGGGCTAGTGATTCACCTGGAGAGATGCAGGTAAATACTGAGGCTGGAAAGGGCTAGAGCAGAGACCATTTGTGTGTGTGGAGCTTAAAGAACAGTTAGTTCTAGACAGTATAATATTAAAGCAGTAGTTCTTAACTAAGGGCGATTTTGCCTCCCCCCCCCAACACACACACACACACCACCACCACCACCACCACCACCACCACCACCACCACCACCACCACCACCACCACCACCACCAGGGGACCTTTGTCAATGTCTGGAGACATTCTGAGTTGCCACGATTTGGGAAGCGGGTGGGGTGGCAGTGCACTGCTGTTGAGGTTGAGAAACCCTGCACTAAAGGAATATTACAGCCCAAATTTGGGTTTCAGTCATTATGCTATAAACTAATGGTTTTACCAACTTGAATCTTCTGTTCCTTTACTTGCGGAAACAAAGTTAAAAACAGATTTCAAGTAGCCCACTGCTTCATCCACTCCCTTAAAACTCCCTGGCAGAAGTTCGAGGGCCTTAGAAAAGCTCCACGGGGACGGTAGGTGCACATGTACCTGAACACATGAGAACGGCCCTGAGGAGTCACACCCAGCCGTTCACTGGGGTTACCTCTGCGGGAGGAACCGGGCCTGGGGTCCGTGTAGGGAAAGCATATTCATGCTTCAGTTGCATGATTACGAATTAATGTTAACAACAATGCGATGTTGGGTCCATGCATAGAGAAGAAGGGGAGATGCGCTCAGGGACTGAAACCTCGTTCGTCCGGGTGTCTAAATGCCCCTTCCGCGTGACCCTGGGCCCCCCAGGCTCTCGCCTCCTCTCCCGGACGCCGCCCCGCGCGGGCCGCAGAGCTCTCGGGGACCCGCGACCCCCGGGCCTTGGCCCGCATTAACCCGGGACCCCTCCGGGCCCGCGGGGGCCTCCCCGCCGCCGCCTCACCTCGACCAGGAGGCGCCTCCTCCAGAAGCCCCGCGGCAGGTTGTCCTCGACGTACTTGTTGCCGAAGTTGAAGGCGACGTCGGGTCCTTCTGTAGCCCCGGGAGCGCGAGGCGAACCTTTGGAAGGTCGGGAAACCGACCTTCTCTGCCTCAGCAGAGACGCGGCGTGGGAGGAGAGAGGGCGAGAGGACCGGGAACGGGGGCCGGGTCGGGCGTGGAGGGGGCCGGGCGCGCCAGGGTCCTATAAGCTGCCGCAGCTCGCCCCTTCTTTGCATATTCATGAAGCGGAGAGTGGATGGACACCTGAGAAAGCTTTGGGGGCTCATGAATTATTCATGAGCACCTCGCCCCACCCAAGAAGATCTCGTTGATTATTCATGAGCCCGAGAGGCGGGTTTGAGCCGGAAAAGGCGGTTGAATGCGGCTCTGAGGGAGAAGTTCACCAGCTGAGGCGAGGGCTGACCGGACGCGGTCTGCGGAGGCAAAGGGCGCTTGAGGACAGTCCGTTCTCTAGTCTTAGGTTAACATTTTTTCTTTTCTTTTTTACTTGAGAGGTTAAGTTTGAGTTGAAAGTATATCTCTGAGGCCCCCCTTACTGTGAGGAGAAGCTTCGGGAAGGCGGGGGCTGAAGGGAAAGAAGGGGGCGCAGCCTGTAGGTTAACCTTTACTCGTCGCCGTGTGAGGAGGAAACTTTCCGCACAGGCCAGGGAAAGGAACGGCGGAGAAAATTCTGCCCGGAACACGCGCATTCCCGCCATCTAAGTCGCTTTTAAATTCAGAGTTTGGCGGGAGAGGAGGAGTCGGTCTTGGAGAGGCTGCAGCGGCGGTCAGCAGCCGCCGGGCAGGTGCCCGGACCGGCCGCGCGGGGCGCCGAGTCCGCTGTGGAATTTCGGGGCTTCGTGCGGCCAGGTCGGGTTTTTCTCCAGCCGCGGAGGTGTTCCGCCATGATCAGTGCCTGGCGCGGGCCGAGGGGTGGGCTGAGCAGCCATCAGGACCCGAGCTCTTCTTTCACTCGATCCAGGACTGGCCACTTAATCTCTGTGGACGTCAGGTCCGCAAACAGTGCGGGGGAGAGGGTGTCCCGAAACTCGAGATTAGCCAATCACCGGAGGGCGTTGGAGTGTCCGGAGCGGCGGACGGGGCGTGCGGTACACCGTGTACTTGGCCGGCGAGAATGGGGGCGGGAGGCCAGGGGAAGAGACTAGTTCCTGCTCCTAAAGGAGTGCTTCATCTGATTAGGGTGATAATCCAATTTCTGCCCCGTTGGACCGTAAAATCTCCTGAGAGGTGATCAGTTTTTCATCTTCGTAATCCTCGGGGAAGCCTCGCACATAGTAGTCGCCTGCTAAATGCCGAATGAATGAATAATTAAAGTGGCATGAAGATATTAAAAAACCCAAAGAGCATGAACAAATACCTAGTTAATATAGTGGAAACCATTTACTCGGAGTGAACATGAGTAGGGAAATGTGAGGGCCAAATGGGATTTATTAAAATGGTGAGTAATAATTTATGGAAACAAACTCTGTGAAACCTCTGAGTCACTGGTGGCCTCTGGCAAACCGAGGCCCATCGCTGGACTTCACTTTCCTCTTCTTGATAGTTTGATATTTTAAATTTAAATTCATGATTCATTTTGAATTAATATTCGTATATGGTGTGAAATTTAGGTTGAGGTTCTTCCCCCCTCCCCCCATGGATGTCCTATTGTGCCAGCACCATTTGTATAAAGACCATCCTTCCTCCACTGAATTATTTACCCTTTTCTTAACAAGGGATTGGATTAGTTTTACAGTATGTTTCCTGTTCCTTCCAGCTCTGTGTTGTGAAGCCTGTTTATATTGATTGATATGCATGTCCTTTAAATAAGGCCATACTTCATATCAGGCACATGTAAGGAAAAGAAAGGTCACCTACTTGCATTTTAGAATCCAGCTATTGGATATTGTTCACTCAATAGCAAGGGTATTTTCTTGTTTAAAAAAATGGTTGTGGAAGATTGGGAAAGATGGGTGGAAAGCATTAGGAAATCAGCTATTAGTGTCATTGGGCAAACAATAAAAGTTTGTTTTTTGCACCACTCAGAATACCTCCCTCCAAAAAAAAAAGTGGCTTAGGCCTTGGTAAACTTAACAACAGCTGGTTTATCTTTATCTGAATCTTGGATTCACAAATAAAAGGGTAAAATAGTAGGTAAGTGTGCCACCATTTAAAATAGGGCAGTTGAGATATAGGTCAAAAAGTATGCCCAGAGTGAGTCTGTATTTGAGAAACCATAGAAATCTTGCCTCTTTCTCAGAAGACCATAATCCTTGTCACATTTGGATATCAAGAATAATAGTGAATGCTGTTGATGCCCTGTGAAGTTTCACCTTTGTGGATCTAGTAAGCAAGCAAATATACATTTATTAAAAGACATTGGAAAGTTAGACATTTTGATCTTTAAATCCTTAGTTTTGAAATCTTTCCTAGATTTTTAGATGAGTCAGAACAGGTGTTAAAAAATCAGTTATTTTTAAGTATACTTTATTGATTACATTATTACAGTTGTCCCATTTCCTCCCCTTCATTCCCCTCCACCTTGCACACCACCTCCCACCCACCTTCCCCCCTTTAATTCATGTCCATGTATCCTAAGTTCTTTAGCTTCTACATTTCCCATACTATTCTTGCCCTCCCCCTGTTTATTTTCTACCTACCATCTATGCTACTTATTCTCTGTACCTTTTCCCCTTCTCTCCTCCTCCTACTCCCGTTTTGCTAACCCTCCATGTGATCTCCATTTCTGTGTTTCTGTTCCTGTTCTAGTTGTTTGCTTTTATTTTAGGTGTGGTTGTTAATAATTGTGAGTTTGCCATCCTTTCACTGTTCATTTTTTATCTTCTTTTTCTTAGATAAGCCCCTTTAACATTTCATATAATAAGGGCTCGGCGATGATTAACTCCATAAACTTGTCCTTATCTGAGAAGCACTTTATCTGTCCTTCCATTCTAAATGAAAGCTTTGCTGGATAGAGCAATCTTGGATGTAGGTCTTTGGATTTCATGACTTGGAATCCTTCTTTCCAGCCCCTTCTTGCCTGTAAGGTCTCTTTTGAGAAATCAGCTGACAGTCTTATGGGCACTGCTTTGTAGGTGACTGTCCCCTTATCTCTTGCTGCTTCTAGAATTCTCTCCTTTTTAATCTTGGCTAATGTAATGATGATGTGCCTTGGTGTGTTCCTCCTTGGGTCCAACTTCTTTGGGACTCTTTGAGCTTCCTGGACTTCCTGAAAGTCTATTTCCTTTGCCAGGTTGGGGAAGTTCTTCTCTATTATTTGTCCAAATAACTTTTCCACTTGTTGCTCTTCCTCTTCCCCTTCTGGTACCCCTATAATTCAGATGTCTGAACATTTAAAGATGTCCTAGAGGTTCCTGAGCCTCTCCTCATTTTTTTGAATTCTTGTTTCTTCATTCTTTCCTGTTTGGTTGTTTCTTTCTTCCTCCCAGTCCACTCCATTGATTTTAGTCCCAGTTTTCTTTCCATTACTATAGGTTCCCTGTGCATTTTCCTTCATTTCACTTAGCATAGCCTTCATTTTTTCATCTAATTTGTGACCAGAGTCAACCAGTTCTGTAAGCATCCTGATCACCAGTGCTTTGAACTGTGTATCTGATAGGTTGGCTATCTCTTGGTTGCTTAGATGTATTGGCTCTGGGGCTTTGACCTGTTCTTCTGTTTCAGCCTCTTTTTTTTTGGGGGGGGGTCTGGTGGAGCCTGTTACGTAGTGAGGGGCGGAGCCTTAGATGTTCACCAGGGCAGGGCGACCCAGTCACTGGGTTGTGACACTTATGTGGGGGCAAGGTCAGAGAGGGAACAATGGTGCAATGTGCTCTGCTCTCTCTTGGATTTCAGTCCCCTCTGCCACTTCCCACAAGCAAATTGGGCCCTTCTGGTGCTGGTTTCTGGATGGGTGGGCTCTAGGGACCCCCACAGATCTCTTCAATGAATTCTCCTGTGAGGCAGGGAGTCTCCTGGCAGCTCAACCCCAACAAGTGTTTTCAATCAGTGCTTTTAGGCTTTATTTCCTGGCGCTGGGGCCCTGGGTTGTGCGGTCTATCTTGCTGCCCGTTTTTGTCTGGTTTATCTGTGTGCAAATGTGTGACTGTGGTCAGCCAGCTGCCTTGTGTGCCTCACTTGGTCTGCTCATTGCCACCCCACACTGGGGGTTTGCCAGCCGCCGCCTGAGCTCCTGGGTCCGCCAGCCACCGCTTTTTCTCTGCCACGACCCCTCTGTATCCCTCTTACCAGTCTGGATGAATGGTTGTCAGACTTCCATGCAGTTCAATTTTCTGTCAGTTCCTGTTTTTTTGTTCTAAATTTTTGTTGTCCTTAATTTGGTTGTGCAAGGAGGCACAGTGTGTCTACCTACACCTCCATCTTGGCTAGAAGTCAGTTATTTTCTAAGAGTGCATGATCTATAGAGTCATACCTCCTGAGGCTGTCAGCTTGTGAGCTTTCAAAATTAAGCAGTTTGTAGTTGGATAAGAAACCTCTACAAAATATCTACTCAAAGAGAAAACAACAGTAGGAATAAAATAGTTAGTGGTTGAAAAGAGCCTATTTAAAAATATTATTTAGATCTTTTTTGCCTTCCTGAAGTGAGCTTATTCTAGAACACCAGAAAGAGACACTACTACCACGTTTAGATATCAGTAAGCAAGCTCAACAACTAGTAAAGGTCATTTTAGATAGAATGAAAACAAAGGCAAATTTCATTTTGGAGAGTCAATTGTAGAAAACCCCCTAAATTGTGAGTCAAATTTTCTTGAGTTTTTTTCTTAGTTCTGTCACTGAGTGGTTGATTGACCCTGGATAATTCAGTTGACTTTTCTGAACTTTGATTTCTTTATCTAGAAAATCAGGCATTTAAAGTTCTTTCTGCCTCTAAAATTCCATAATTCTTTTCTAGATACCTAATTGTTCCTCATTATTGTAGTGCTTCTCTGTTGACTCAGCAGATATTTACTGAGCATTTATGTAATTTGTTTCAGTGCTGATGGTGCTGAAGATTTAAGTATGAGCTAAACTAGACACAAAAGGTCACATTATATGATTCCATCTACATAAAATGCCCAGCATAGGCAAATTCATAGAGATGAAAAAGTAGATTAGTGTTTGCAAGGAGTCAGTGGGAGGAGAGAATGGGAAGTGATTGCTAACAGGCATAAGTCTTCTGGAATTAGATAGTAGTGATAGTTGCAAAACATTGTGAATAAAACCCACTGAATTTTTATTTTTATTTTGGAAGTTTAGAAAGGAACTTAAAAAAATAAAGAATGAGCTAGACAGACACAACTTTGCCCTCATGTTAGCCCATGGTAGGGTGGAGTGGATGCATAAATGCAGCCATAAAACTCTATATATCACAATGGGCATATAACCAAGATCTGGGAGTAATGGCGAATCAAGGAATAATTCTTGATAAATTTATTCTAAGCCATGCCTAGGAGATGAGTAGGAATTGGAAATGGAGAAGGATGTTTCAGACAGAATGAATATTACAAAAGCTTGAAAGCTGGAGAGAATGTAGTCCTTTAGGGTAATTAAAGTAGATAATAATAGCTGATGCATAAAAGAGTAAGGGAAAATGGTTAGAGGCACAGCTAAGGAGGCATGAGCCAAATCTTGGAGCTGTGAAAGGAATTTGGATTTTATCCTGCGGGCAGTGGGGAGCCACTGAAGTATTTCAGTCTAGGAAGTTATATAATCAAGTTTGTAATTTAAAAAGAAAACTCTCGCTGCAATACAAAGAACATATTGGAGAAGGGTAAGACCGATAACAAGCAGACTGGTGGTTGTAGCAATCCAAGCAAAAGATTAGGTTGATTTGATCCAAAGCAGAGATGAAAGCGTGGGTAAAGTAAGGAGTGGACATTTGAAAATATTAAGATGATTAGATATAGGAGTAGTGGTGGTGGAGGGGGACAGGGTTGAATCATAGTTTTTAGGCCTGAGCAATTAGGTATATGATAGTGTCATTCACTAAGCTAGGGAACAGAAATAGGTTTGGGGGAAGAGAATTCACATTGAATGTGTTGGGAACATCAAAAGTGGAACTGTCTCATAGGTCTCCACCTGCAACTCCCCAGAGAGACCTGGGCAGGGGATGTATATACACACATACATATATGAATCATTAGAAGAGAAATAGTAATTGAGACAATGGGAATATATTTATAGAGCCAGGAAGTGTATTTAGGAGTTAAAAAGAAAAAAGAAAGAAAAGAGCTCCTAGGACAAAACCCTGAAGTACTCCAAAAGCTAAAAATAATCAGGGAAAAAAGTCTGAAGAGGAAAATGAAAAAGAACAACTGGGAGGCTGGAAAAAAAACAAGGAGTTAGAGTACTAATAGTACTAACAAATTATAAGATTTAAAAAATTAAAATGCTTGCCCTGGCTGGTGTAGCTCAGTGGATTCAGTGTGGGCCTGTGAACCAAAGGGTCACTGGTTTGATATTCAGTCAGGGCACATGCCTGGGTTGCAGGCTGGGTCCCCATTTGGGGGAATGTGGGGGGCAACCACACATTGATGATTCTCTCCCTCTCTCCTTCCATTCTCCTCTCTGTAAAAAAAAATAAATAAAAACAACAAAAAAGAAAACACGCATGACATTTTTAAAAATTAAAATGCTTTATGACATATAATGAGATGTATATCAGACAGTATTCCAAGTGTCTTGCAAATAATGACTCATGTAGTCCTCACAACAACCATGTGAAGTAGGTACTATTACTATCCTTATTTTACAGATGGGGAAGCAAAGACACACAACTTGCCCAAGATGCAAGGGAATTGTAGACTGAGATTTGATCCTAGGTAATTTGGCTCCCAAAGAATCCACGTGCTTAACCGCTGTGCTGTGTTACCTCTCAAGATTAAACACTTGCCTGTATAAACAGTATAAGGGCCCTGAAAAGTTAGATTTATTGTCTTCATTTTACAAAAATGAAACTGAGGCCCAGAGAGGTTGTATAATTTGATCAAGTCACAGAGCTACTAGGTAGTTGAGCAAATTCTAGGTAGTAGAATTTGAACTCCAAAGCCTCTTTCTACTGAATTATACTCCTGGTTATTTTCTCTATGTATACACATATGTGTGTATAAAATTTAAATTTACTTACTTTATAAATGTTAACTCCTCAGGTATTTACCAAATGTTAATAGTGACTAGCTTTAAAATCTTTCTCAAAAGCAAAATGCCCTTTAATGAACAAAATAAATTAATGATCAAAATAGAATTGGAGACATAGAAACATGGAACAGGCTGAGGGGGTATGTAGGGGTTAATGGTGGAAAGAAGGGGAAAGGACTAGTCAAAGAACGTATATGAATAACCCATAGACATGGACAACGGTAGGGGGATTGACTATGGGAGCAGGGGGTGGGCTGGGCAGAGGAGAGCAAAGGGGGAAAAATTTGGACATTTGTAATAGAATAACAACAACAAAAACAAATACCCTGGATGTCTCAGAATTTTAAGTGATAGTATTAATTTAATCCAGGTTATTCATATATTCCAAAAATAAGGATGTAGTAATGCATTATGTCCTAATTGGTGCTATTCTCAGCACTTCATTCTCTAGAAATGCCATCAGAATGTCTTATTTATGATCAAAGAGAAATGTTTTATAAACACCAATATAAAAAGCTATTTAAAAATCATTATTCCTGTTATTTATTATCCTAAGACTAGTAACTACCATGTTTTGATGGGCCAGAACTAGAGCTTAAACTCAAATTATTTTTCCCCATTTTATTTCTTGAAATCACTTGATATGTTGAGTCAGATTTGAAGGTTATACTCAGACCTGAAGGTTATACTGTGAAGTCAACAAAAGATACACTGGAATCTTTAAGGAGAAAAGGAGTGTTAGGTGGTTTTCAGTCTGATATAAAATATTGTAAAAGAGTGTCCCCTAGTGCTGCTCTGAAGTAATTTGAGAGAAATTAGATATTACCTGTTTATTATCTCTGTCACCACCTTGTGGCCTTAAATAACTCTGCCCTCTTTTATTTGCAAAATCTTTCAGAATCTTGGCATTAATCTACGCACAAAAAATAGGTCACAGGCTATCCAGGATGATCCAGAATAGAATTTCTTTTTAAGAAAATTTATTTATTTATTTTAGAGAGATGGGGGAGGGAGGGAGAAATAGAGGGAGTGAAATTCCCTCTTTCTCTAGCACACCCCATACTGCAGATATAGCCTGCAACCCAGGCATGTGCCCTGACTGGGAATCAAACCAGCAATGCTTTGGTTTGCAGGCTTGTGCTCAATCCACTGAGTGAGCTACACCAGCCAGGGCCAGAATAGAATTTCTTTAAATGTGTTATTTTACAAATATTTTGGTCAAAACTGTATAAAACCTTGAAACAAAGCCACAATTTAAATTAAAGCCTTTGAAAAGATCAAGGGAAATTTTTTCCCTTCCTTTCTCTCTCCGTTCCTTACTTCCTTTCTTATGTTAGTAAAGCAATGAAATGGAAAACTAGATGTACTTAATTTTATTTTTTTAAGATTAAAAAATATTTTTAGAGAGGGGAAGGTAGGGAGAAAGGAAAAAAAGGGGGGAGAAAGAAAAAAAAGGGAGAGAAACCTTAATGTGTGGTTGCATCTCATGTGCTGCCCAGTGGGGACCTGACCTGAAAACCAAGGCATGTGCCCTGACTGGGAATAAAACTGGCGACCCTTTGGTTTGTAGTCTGGCACTCATCCAGTGAGCCATGCCAGCCAGGGCAGAAAACTGGATGTATTTTAAACCATGTTTTTTTTACTGTGGGAAATGTATATGACATAAAATTCACCACCTCAGCCACTCTCAAGTGTACAATTCAGCGTCATTAAGCTCCTTCACAGAGTTAGACAACCATCCTCGCTATCCATTTCTAGAAATTTTTCATCATCCTGAACAGAAACTCTGTACCCATTAAACTTCCCATTCCTTCTACCCTTCATCCTTTGGTAAACTCCATTCTACTGTCTCTGCATTCCTTGTATAAGTGGAATCATGCAATATTTTCCCCTTTTTGTCTGGCTTAATTTACTTGTATAATTTTATCCATGTTATAGCATGTATCAGAATTTCATTCCCTTTTAAAGCTGAATAGCTTTCTATTGCATATACCACGTTTTTTTAAGCCATGCAACTGCTGATGGACATATGGGTTGTTTCCACCTTTTGGCTGTTGTAAATAATACAGCTATGAACATTGGTGTACGAGTAACTGTTTGAATCCCTGCTTTCAATCCTTTTGGGTATATACCTAAAGTGGAATTGCTGGGTAACATAGTGATTGCTTAACATTTTGAGAAATTGACATACTGTTTCCACAGCAGCTACACCATTTTTCATTCCTACCACAGTAGTTTTAATTTGTCTACATCCTCACCAACATTTGTCATTTTCCATTTTTTTGAATAGCCATCCTAATGGGTGTGAAGTGTAAACCTTAACTTTTGAATTGACTCTGAAAATCAATTACACGTGAAGTTAACTCAAGAAATTTTTTTTGTGGTGCAGCTACATAGAAAATACTGTTATACTCTGAGAGAATAACAAGAAGGAATAAAATATATTTTTGACTCATTTGGTGATTTACAATATTTTTCTCCCTCAAATGTATTTGGTAACAAGTAAGTCAACTTCATTTTCATTGGGTAGTTGGAAAAACTAATCCAGAGACTTTATGCCAAATTTATAGAAAATTGGTAGTTTAGGTCAAAATGTTTACTAAACTAGCCCTGACTGCTGTATCTCAGTGGATTAAGTACCAGCCTATGAACCAAAGGGTTGTTGGTTCAATTCTTGGTCAGGGCACGTGCCTGGGTTGTGGGTCAGGTCCCCAGCTGGGGGTGCATAGAGGCAACCACACATTGAGGTTTCCCTTCCTCTCTTTCTCCCTCCCTTTCTCTAAAAATAAATAAAATATTTAAAAAATCTTTATTAAACAAATTTTTCCAAAGAATATGGTGGCAAAGTCTCTAATTGATTTTTATGTTTTGCAGGTTAGACTTCTTAAAAGAATCCTGATACATTACTATAATGGCCACTGCTCAGCTCTCTCACTCCATCAGAATTCACAAGGCATCTAAGGTATTTTTATTAAGAATTAAAATAAAATCGATGACTATTAGTGAGTTAGTTCAGAATCATGACTTTAATCTTTGGCATTTTTTAAAAACAGCATTTTTTTCAGTTAATTAGCACAAAATTTCTGGCAGAGTATGTCTACATTTCAACTGCCTAATGGACCAAGGATGTTGAGAAAATTAGAATTGATTCCTACAAAATAACTTATGGGTACTGGCTTCATATTTATATATTTAGATTTTTCTAGGGTAAAAGAAATCAGAAACAAAAAAAAGATTTTTAAAGAGAATGGTTCTTTGTTAGACATTCACTTCCTGAAACAATTAGGAAACTTCCGATGCACAACATGATGTAGTTATAAGAACTGAAGAAAAGAACAAGGTGAAAAACTTGGATGCTGGGGCCCTGGGGGAGCACACCAGGTCTAGGCAGCCTTGATGGGCTCATCTGGGCAAGTTGATCTTGTCCCATGACAGTCATGAATGAACTGTTTATGTATTCACTGAGAGCTTAATATTACATAATAGGTGTATAATACTGTGTTATCCTCTGAAAGAATAAAATAAGAATTTTTATCTTCCAGAAGTTTATCATCTGGTTAAATGAAGATTTGCAGGAGTCAATATACAAAGTAGTATATGCATTACATATATATGAAAAAGAGTAAAGCAATACAAATTATAAAAATTTATAGATTTTATTTATATAGACTGGAATAGTTTGTATATTCTTCATAAAGGACATGAGACTTAAGGAGGATCTTGAATGATGAAAATTATTGGATAGAGAAGAGAAAAGAGAATTCCATGAGGAAAACCTAGCAAATGCCTTTGCTCAGAGTAAAAAATGAGGAGGGCATGACTGAGAGAATAACAAAGAACTATCCTTACTGGAGCGGAGTGTCATCATGTTGAACAGAAATGGGAAATAAAATTGAATAGGAACTTTGGGGACAAAATAATATGGATCTTAATAGCGAGACTAAGGAATTTGTGTTTATTCTGCAGTCAATAGAAACTCAGTGGGTTTGATAAGGAGAGTGAGTAAAATAATTGTTTCAAGAATATTAAGCTGTAGCAGAAATAGGAAATATTGAAGGTGAAGGAGAATTAGGGCAGAGAGAAAGCAGTCATCTTTCTGGCTCGAATTCAATATACTCACCAGTCTCCTGATCCCATTTAGTTTTCTAAGTGTGCTTCCTTTCTGGGGGAAAATGCTGAGCTAGGTATATGAATTGCTCTCAGCTTGGCAGTTATTTTTTTATATAAACAGATCTTTGTAGTTTGGACTGCATGAGATACTTCTCCCAGTATACATGACTGTGGTTTTGCTATTCAATACTTCCAATAATGATAACTATTGAAGCTAACATTTATTCATCACTTACCATGTGCTGGGCACTGTGCCAAGGGCTTTATATTATTATTTCAATTAAACCTTGCAGTAAGGAAGAAACTGAAGCTCAGAGAAATAAAGTAACTTGCCTTAGATTGTGTAACTTGACAGCAAAACTGTCAAACATCTCTTACGTCACTAACATACCATCTTACTAAAATAATTTATAATAGTGTTGTTTTATTATCAACCCATAGTGTTTTCATGTATTAGACATTTATAAAAATGATGATAGCCTTAAAGTACTAGACCAGCTGAGCTGAGAAAAAAATTCCCTGGAGTATAGAGAAGTAACAGAACTCTGGAGGCCTTTTCTTACCATTGATCTTAATTACTATAAATAGCTTTTAGAGTCTACATTTAAAGGAAACATCTTTATACTTTCAGGTTACTTAATTTTACAAATGATTATTACTCAAGTATTGCCTGTAAGTTTTGGCATGCTCTAAATTAATTACTACGGCATGGTAAATAGCCTTGCTAGCTATTACCCAGTTACCCGAAAGAACCTTAATTTTTTTCAGGATCCATGGGTACAAAGATCAAAGAAATAAAATTTTATACATATCTATATACACACTTATACCAAATACACATCAAATTCTCCTTCAGCTTCAATATTTCTTACTTCTGCTACAGTTTAATATTCCTAAAACAATTATTTTACTTACCTGATAAAACCTGCTGACTTTCCATTGTTTGAAGAATAAAGCATAAATTCCTTAGCCTGACTTTTAAGATCCATACTAATTTCTCCCCAAAGTTTTTATCATACATGCAAGAGTAAATATTTCATTATATACCTTTTTATTTTAATTTCAGAGGGGGGCTGGGGAGAGACAGAGAAAGGGAAAGAAACATTGATGTGGGAGAAACATTGATCATTTGCCTCCCATACACACAGGGCCAGGGATGAATCCACAACCTAGGCATGTGCCCTAACCAGGAATTGAACCCATGGCCTTTCAGTTTATGGGACCAGTGCTCCAACCAACTGAATCACACTGGAGGGAGGGAAATGAGCAGGGAGAGTTAGGCAAGGATAAGATTTAGATACATAGTTCTCAAATGCCACTCTAACGTACTTGAACTGGTGTTCAAGTACATTATAGTAATGTACATTCCTGGTGTTAATATGGAATGTTAACATTCCATATTAACACCAGGAATGTCATGAAGGTAATATGAAGGACAGATTGAATAAAAGGAACTGTTGCTCTGGCTGATGTGGCTTAGTGAACTGAGTGATGGCCTGCAAACTGAAAGGTTGCAGGTTCAATTCCTGGTCAGACCACATGACTGGGTTGCAGGTCAGGTCCCCGGCTTGGGTGTGCAAGAGGCAACCAATTGATGTATCTCTTGTGCATTGATGTTTCTCTCCTTCTCTCCCTCTCTTCTCTCTCTCTCTCTCTCTCTAAAAAAAAAGGAAATGTTGACAGGAAGATTATGGGCTACTTCATTGATAAAGGGGAAAGGTGACTAAGTCCTAAGCCAAGACAGTTGCAGTGAAAAGGGAAAGTAGAAAACAGATTTGCGAACTCTTTTAGATAAAATTAATAGAATTTAGTGTTTGGATGTGGGGTATGAAGGAGAGACAGAAGCCAAAGATGATTCTACTACTGTTCTGGATGACTGGAGTGATGATGATTAATTCATTTGTCTGAGAATGGATCTTGAGAACAGGTTTCAGTCAGGGATAACAGAGACAAACTGAGTTTGAGGGGGCCTATGAAGTGGTCTAGGAGCAGATGTGCAGAAAATAGAAATATAGAAGTGGGGCTCAGAGCAGAAATGAGGGTGAGACTAGATGAGATTACCCAAAAAGACAGAGTTTATGAAAAGTGTAAAGAATTGAAGACAGAATCCTGGAATGGGACCAACATTAAAAACACAGAAAAACTGGAAAAAATAAAAGAGATTGAGATATATACAGAGGGATGAGTGAAAAATCAAAAGAAAACAGTGTTAGGGTAGCTGAGAGAGAAGAGGGAAAGTGTAAGCAAAAGTGTCGATCGAGCACTGAGGAGAAGTTACATAGCATGAGGATCAAGAGGCAGTTGACAGGACGTGCTTGGTGACTGTGGAGGGAATAGTATGGAATAAATGGGGTAAAAGACAGTGGGTTCTGAGGATTGTGTGACAGAAGGATATTATATAATTATACTTAAACTCCGGTTTTGCCTCAAATCCGTGGATCATTGTGAAATAAACCTGTTATCGAATAGCTTTGAATTACTTGGGTAAACTGTCTTTGCCTTTCTCTGCCTTGCCTGTGGAGATCTAATTTAATGCAGTATTTAAAGCTGTTTCCTTCTGATTACCTTTAAAGGTGTCAGATTTGAAGTCTTGAAAAATCTTTCCATCATATCTGTGGTAATAGTATGATGGACTGACTATATTAAAGAATACTAATCTTCTTCATCTTTGTTTTTTTTTCCAGGAAACAATTTTCCCATCCCAAATTACTAATGAGCATGAGTCATTGATAATGGTGAAGAAACTTTTTGCCACTTCTATCTCATGTATAACATATTTAAGGGGTCTGTTTCCAGAGAGCTCTTATGGAGAACGCCATTTGGATGGTAAAGTTTAAATGGTTACTTTGGCTGTTGTAGCCCTTTTCTGTATTTGGCAGGAGTAAACCTTTAATTTCTCAGAGAGCGCCAATTCCAAGGCATGGTCCTGTTCTTCAAGAACAATTTGTTAATTCATTTTCCATTTAAATTTCACTGCATTTAGTGGCTTTACTTATAGGAACCATTAGTGCCTGGCTAAATACCAAATGACAGTTTAAGGAGAACAGAATTCCGTGTAAGCCCAATAATATATCTAAATATCTAAAATATCTAATCTAAATAATATCTAAACTATACCTATCAAAGCAGCAGTGAGATCAAAATATGTTTGGTTGCTCTGGATTTGCACAGTTTTGTACCTCAATTGAATTTGTTCTTTGAATTATACTTTGACATTGAGGAAGTTTCATGGAGTCAGGTGCAAAACTCTTCTTCCTACTAGCATATATGTAAATAAGCTAGAAAATTGCATACTCATGCCAAACCCAATTGTTGATTAGCATGGATATTTAGACAATTATTATTCTAATCAACTTTGGTCTTTTCTCAATTGCCAGATCCTCAACTTTCTTTTCTTTTACTTCTTGTGCCCTTAAACATATCTTATTTTCTTATATTACAAACTGTTTCTGGCTCCTTTCTATCTCTTGAATTAAAAAAAAATGTACCTAGGACTTTTCAGTTTTTCAAAATCTTATTAATTGTTTAAAATCTGAATTATGATAACAATTCAGAAAATTTTGCTGATTTGCTATTAGTGGGAGTTCCCATTTGAAAAATAGAGATCTACAAGTGTCTTTGTATCATGTTTTTAAAATCTAACTTTATTTTCAGGTTATATATCTGTATTTAATGATATACCTTGGCCTGATTCCAATTTAATTTTATTTTTTTAAAGATTTTATGTATTTATCTTCAGAGGGGAAGGGAAGGAGAGAGGAAGAGAAATATCAGTGTATGGTTGCTTCTCGTACATCCCCTGCTGGGAACTGGCTTGCAACCCAAGCATGTGCTCTGACTGGGAATTGAACCTCAGTCTATTGGTTCGCAAACCCGTACTCAATCCACTGAGCTACACCTGCCAGGGCCAATTTAATTTTCTTAAACATTTGATTCTCTATATGAGCATCCATGAAATACATGTATGCTATAAACAGAAAAGCATGATATTTGTAATTATGATAACCTCACTTGTATTGTGTCCTTTTTTTGGTTTATTGGATATAAATACATCTGTAATAGTGAATATGTTTATATGTAGCACATAGTTTTAGTTTCTCCTTTTGTTTGGAACATAGAATTGGAAAGAGACATGGGTAGATAATCATTAAAAGCAAAATTTATCTGAGTAAATTTGAAGAGCTAATTTGCTTTATTTGGCGATTCATGAATTGAGCAGCATCTGGTCTAGCAACTAGAAGGGCAGTCTGAAGGGTTGTACAAAATGGAAGCTTTTTAGGAAAAGAATGGTGGGTCAAGGAAGCTGGTAACAAAAGAACGGATTGTTTTTAGGCCAGGACACCTTTTCTTTGGGGGAGGATAATGGGAAAGGTTTTTTTTTTTTTTTACACAGATTTTTGGAGATGGAAGGAGACCATAGAGGCATAGAGGCACCTTACTGTTACTGGACCAGAAATTTTTGTACTGCTGAAAATTACATTTCCTGTTTCTGGCCCTGACCAGTGTGGCTCAGGTGATTGGGGATCATCCCACAAAGTGAAGCGTCACCTGTTTAATTTCCCGTAGGGCACATGCCTGGGTTGCAGGTTCAGTCCCTGGTCAGGATGTGTACAGAGACAACTGGTCCATGTTTCTCTCTCACATCATGTTTCCCTCTCTCTTCCTCTTTCCCTCCCCTTCCCTCTAAAAATGAATAGATAAAATTCTGAGATTACATTTCCAGGAGAGTTTGAAACTGCAGTTTGATATTGTATTAAATCTAGGTTTGAAATTATGGGCTTTTAGGACAGTTGACTTCATTTTGGGCCTGTGGTTGTTTTCTTTAACATATTTAAGCACTTAATGTGTGCCAGTTATTACCCTAGGCAAGGGACAGGGAGGGAGAGAGAGTGGGAGAGAAATATCAATCAGTTGCCTCTTGTATGTCCCCAACCAGGCCCCCAGCCAGGCTTGTGCCCTGACAGGGAATTGAACCAGCAACCTTTTGGTTTGCCTTTTGGTTTGTGGAATGCCACCCAACCTATTGAGCCACTCTAGTCAGGGTTCTAAATTCCTTTAGTCAGCAAGGGAAAGGGAAAAATTTACCTTGAGTCAGCTAGGTCTTGATTGCCATCAGCTCCAAATAATCCACAGGCCCAAGTGGCATATTTTGGGATGTCATATTCTGTTCCCCTTCACTACACTGTGTAAGAGTAGACAACTAAACTATAATCAAAATCAGAACTAACCTAATTATCAACATTGGACTTACCGTTTTGATTTAGAGATTCCAAATGTTTTCATAAGCTATAAAACTAAGTTATATAAATAAAATAGTTAAAGGAAATACCTTTATTTAGGATGGACAGCAGTCATTTAGTAGATGAAAATAGACTGTGTTTGTATTTTTCTAGACCTCAGTTTAAAAATACTCCGAGAAGATAAAAAATGCCCTGGGTCACTGCATATTATCAAATGGTGAGTAATTGAAATTTTACAAAAGTCCAGCATTATTTTTACCATGTCTAAAAAAACTCATAAGACTTTATTTAGTAACATAATTTCTTTAATAAGATATCTTTCTGTCTTTGTTTTACAATTTTCTACAAATCTGTAACAATTATTCAGTATTAAGATACTGAGGTAGTGTTGTTTTTAAAATAAATAGACTTGTATAAAAAAGAAAAAGAACAATCCGTATTTAATTACTCATCGTAGGCATGTCAGTGTCCTAAACAAGACACCAACAAGAAAAATAAGATGGGAATCTCTGCCTCAAAATTGCTTACCTATGATTTATAAAGTTCCATCGACATATTAAAAGATACTGGGAGGTTTTTTTTTTAATCAATACCTGAGGATATATTCACTGATTTTTAGAGGGTGGCTGGGGGGAAACAGAGGGAGAGAAGGAAACATTGATGCGAGAGAGAAACATCAATTGGTTGCCTCCCACATGCACTCAACTAGGGACTGAACCCACAACCTAGGCACACGCCCTGCCCAGTCCCTGTCAAACCTCAGCCCTTTGGGGTACAGGATGACACGCCACCCAACTGAACCACCGGGCCAGGGCAAAAGATACTGAGAGTTTTAAATAATTGATTAGATGGGAATGGTAAATGATCATCAATTTAATGTACTTCAAAGCAAAATATGTAAGTCAATTCTGTACTTGGAATTTTTTTGGCTTTGCCAAACTGACATCAAACATTTATTTCTTGACAGGATTCAAGGTTGTTTTGATGCTTTGGAAAAGAGATACGTAAGAATGCTTTAACATTTACACTAGGATCAAAGACTCATCTTTTATCCCTTAAAAAAAAGTTTAGCCTGTATTTTGTTGTTTTGTTTTAATGGTATATCAGTGCTGGCATTTGCATTCATAAGCCAGTTTCTTTTTATTTTATGTCTTTATTGTCCCATTGATGTCTCGTTTACATAAAAAATAAATGAAACCCTCAGTTTTCACTTTTCTGTAGTTATATCTTTTGACCATAGAGTTTCCTCTGAAGTCACTGGAAGAGATCCACAGGATGTGGGAGACAGGAGACAAGAATCCGGCATTTAGCACAGTGAACATGTTCAAAATAGTGGCGATTTAATTGGCAGATATAAAAGGCAAAAATGAACTCGAATAATTCATTTTTGTGTTATTAATTTTATTTGGTGCATATATATAACTTGTTTCCTCAAAATACCTAGTATTGTAGCTCAAAGTTTTTAGAAATGCAGCTGGAATTTTAAGTGTGTCAAATCTTTCTTGCTGCCCAAGACAGCTACAAAGGGTATAAAAATAGAAGCTGTAGTCTTAGTTGAAGAGAAAAGATACACACACACACATAAACTTTTTATTACTGCTTCCCCCACCTCATCTCTATCTATCTTCTTTTTTCTTTAGGAAACCTTGAAGTGACTAAGTCTTACATTGGATTATTTAGTTGCATACATACATTTCCTTTTTCAGTGAACAGTTAGTATTTGTGATTTATTTACCACTAACCTGGGGAACTGTGGGATACAGAAATAAAACAGATATGGCATTGTGTACTTAAGAGCTTATAGACCATGTCAGAAGATAAATGATATTCATATGCATGGCTGGTGATCAGTTGTTTCACACTGGCCCGTTGTACCTGTTGTTAGAATCTCTGTGTCAGGTGGTAAATAACTGCTTCTCTGAGACCCTGAATGACTCCCATAATGGCTGCCCCCTCACTCCACCAGCAGCTCTTTTGGGATCTCACTTGTAAGCTTTGCAATCTAGCAACTAAAGTGTTAACAATCTGGCCCATGGGAGCTTCCAGAAACCCAGCCTCGGGGCTAAATTTGCATCCTATTGATTAGTCAGTACCGTGCCATATCAGGCTGTTAAATACTGATTTTTTTTCATTTCATATTTTAACTATCACCTCTATCATAAGTATGCGTAACTATAACACTCATTAGAAAGTGATGCATGCCAAAGGAGCATGTGCAGTGGAAGTATGGAAAAGGAAGCGTTCTATCCAGTGAGGGGCAAGAGGGAGATCTATGGGAGAAAATGACTTTCGAGCATTGAAGGCCCTTAGAATTCAGATAGTTTGAGAGGGAGAGATGGTCATCACCAGCACGCTGAATAGTGCCATTCATTCTTCTTCACCCATTTATATAGCAACACTTCCTGAGTGTCCATCATTGAGGGGCAGACAATATAGTTAAGACCTTGAGTTTTGAAATAAAACAGTCTTAAGTGAATCCCGGTTTTGCAACTTGTGTATATAAAAACATCCAAATCTGTAGAAAAATTGTATGAGAGTTTATTTGATACTCATAAGAATAACAGTTTTGCAGTTTTTTAAAAATATATTTTATTGATTATACTATTACAGTTGTCCTATTTTCCCCCCTTCACTCCTCTCCACCCTGCACACCCCCTCCCACCCACATTCTTCCCCTTTAGATCATGTCCATGTGTCATATTTATAAGTTCTTTGGCTTCTACATTTCCCATACTATTCTTACTCTTCCCCTGTCTATTTTCTACCTACTGTCTATGCTACTTATTCTCTGTACCTTTTCCTCCTCTCTCCCCCTCCCACTCCCAGATTGATAACCCTCAATGTGATCTTTGTTTCTGGGGTTCTGTTCCTGTTCTAGTTGTTCGCTTAATTTGTTTTTATTTTTGTTTAGCAGTTTCTTTCATGCATTTGAGATTAAGGAAGAAACTAAGGAAAGTTACATGAAGGTGGGAGAAAGCAAAGTAGGGATTGAATTATAGGATAGTAAGATTATGTGCTCTCCTGAGGGTGGCGTGTTAACCCTAGATACACAGAAACAAGGTACAGGGCTTGCTGAAGGCAAAGATAAACCTTTTCCTAAAGAAATTCTATGTTGGGAGAATGACTCCCCACGTTGACCTGCCCAGTTAGGAATCTATGATCAGATCATACTGCAAGGTTAATTTCTGTGGAACCCCTTTTTCTGTCCACACTTTTAATACCTGTGTGACCTTGGACAAGTAACCTACCTCTTTGTATCCTAGTTTCTTTACATATAAAATGGGGATATAATAGAACTTAGCTCTTAGGTTAAGAATTAAATGAATTAATCTAAAGCAGTGGTTTTCAAGTGTTAGCTTGTATCAGAATCACCTGGAGAACTTTTAAAACATATTGATAAGCTGTACCCCAACATTTTTGATTCGAGAATTTGCATTTCAGACACATTTCAGGTGATGCTGAAACTGGTGGCCTAAGGACCATACTTTGAGAAACACTAATCTAAAATGTTTAGAAGAATTTTTGGCATATAATAAGCACTATGTAAGTGTTCTCTTCTTTGTTCCTCCCTTTCTCCCCTCTCCTCTCCCTCCCCCCCCCTCTTCTATTCTCCTTGTTTCCTCCCTTGCCTATGCTGTGCCTGACAGAAATCCGAATCTGATCATATCATTCTTTTCCCTAAAAATTTCCCATGGCTTTTAAAATGAAGTTCAGAATCTGTCACATGATCTACAAGGCCAGTACAATCTACTCTCCAGCTGCTTTTCAAAAGTGTCACTCTCACCATTGCTCACTGTGTTCAAGCCACACAGAATCTAGAACATGCCGAGTGCCTGTTACCTTTCTACAAATTGTTCCCTTTCGCCCGGAAAATTCTCTTCTCTACTCTATACCCTTTACCTAGCTAACTCCAATTTATCCTTCAGGTCTCAGCCTAAATATTTACTTCCTCAGGGAGCCTTCCCTGACAGCTCTTTCCTCACCCTCCCACCCCAGATTGTCCCTCTGTTTAATGTTCTCAAACACCCTGTGCTGCTGTTTCTTTACGTCAGTTAACACAACTCACACCTATCTGTGTGATTTGTTTGTTTAACATTTTCTTCCTTGCTGCTCTGCATGTTCCTGCACAGGGGCCATGTTTATTTTTGAATGAATGAACTTTTAATTAAATAGTTAATATAAAATAGAGTTGTACTGTGTAGTCTTAACACCAGTGTATGCAGTAACCAAAATAGCCACACAGTGTCACTAAAGTTTTAGTCCTTTGGTTGAAATAGAGGAATAATTTGTTCTGAAACTAAAATGTGGTCTTAAAATTTTCTCATTTGTATTTTAGTTTTAAAAAATTTATCATTGGCTTTATTATATCTCTATCTGTATATCTATATATTCAAGCAGAGAGAATCTGTTTATAGTAATGTGTGCATGTAGGAAGAGCAAGGGTTTTATAGATTTATATCAGACTTAAATTTTTTACTGTATTAGATTAGTTTCAAAAGGTACATTTTTGGAAATACTTGTGTTATATTTAATTTTTAGTAATACTTGTGTCATATTTAATTTTTAGTAATAATAAATTATTTTTATATCTTTTACCTCCTAAACTATGATAAAACTTATAGAGAATAAGGATAGTTATTTCCTTTTTTTTTTTTATCTCTCTTCTCCCCAACAGAACCCTGGGTTCTGTTGGGCACTCACTTGAATGAAAATTAGTAACCATTTTTCTGGCCTTCTGTATATTTTTTTCTACTGAAATCTTTGAAACCTCTCTGAAAACAGATTTTAATTAACCTTTAATGAAAATAATAATAGTATAGGTACAAATATATATAATATAACTAGTTTTTTTTTCTCTTTAAGCTACATGTGGCAGTACTTACAGTAAGTGCACATTTAAAGGCCCAGCCTCTATCTCTGCTTTATTCTTTTGGCAAATGAAATATTAAAACAGTACTCTTCTTCTACCTTCTTGAATTCTTTATCTGTCCTATGATATTTTGGAATTTTAAAAAATAGAATCTATCAGAAGTCTTAATAAAAGATCACAAACTATATATTTCTTTGGTATATTATAATGCATGGGTAAATGTATGGAATATGCTCTCTGCTTCATCTATTGGCTATCAGGATTTCATTTTTTTGAGTTACTTTACAGATTGAAGTTTTGTAGACTCTTTTGAAGTTCTAGATACTTCCGAGTATAACATGGTGAATGTAATTAAGAAGAGAAAGAAATTATTTAGAATTTATTTGTAGCTCAGTAATCATAAATACCTGGTTATCAATGTCCTTACAGTTAGTGTTTACAGAATACTCTGAAGACTATGTTTACAAAATAAGCTTATTCCATCTCTAGCTTGGACTATATATCTTAAGATATCTATCTCAGTACTCAATTAATACAGCACTAATTGAATTCTTCACATAGAACATGTATTTTATGAGGAGTAATCTAATGTCTATCAGATACTTAATGCTGTTTATTTTTTCTTAAACAGCTTTATGCAAATCCCAAGGAACCTGAGGTAAGAACACACAGAGATGGGCAGTATATATACATTATATTTAAATATTTTTCCCAAGTTGAAGCCATAGATTTTGTTACTAGACTACCATATGAGTAAAGTAACTTGTAGTGAGCTCTTTCCCTGTTTTATTATAAACTTCACCAATTTTTATTATGAGATTTAAAAAACAACTTAAGAGCATTAAAAAAAAGCATTGAGTCTATTGAGCCTGTTCTCTAACATGTTAACATTAAGATCTCTGTTTGTATAAAACCACAAATTATATATTTTAACTGATTGTGAATCTTTTTTGTTTGTGGCCTTTGGGAGATATAGCATAATTCTAAACTTTTTTTTGCCAGCTGAATTCCCCCCTTTTGGACCTTTTCATAGATTTTCAGAGCTTTACCTCTTTGCCTCTTTTTAAAATTTTCTTCCCTCACTTATTGAATTCTACTCATACTCAAGGCCAACTTATATCCAAGTATTTCATGGAAGCCTCTTTGCCTATTCTGTTCAAACCAATTTCTTTCTTTTCTAAATTCCTTTTTCATCAGGACCTCACAATTTACCACTCTCAATTGATTCATGTAGAACACTTTATCTTCCCAATCACATTGTAAATTCTTGAGAACAAGAGTTTTATCTTTTTTCTGTCTCCCAAAGAGTGTATTATATGTATACTTGTGGTGTTTTGAATGGAAGCTGTGGCTGTGGCATAAAAATGGAGGGAGAAGCCTTCCATTCTTCTTATTCTATTCTTTTTATTTTCTTCCTAGCTTTTTTTCCCCTTCCCTTTGCTTTCAATTTTCCTTCTCCAAGCCAAGCCAATGGATTTAGCCAAATTAGTGGCATTCAAAACTAAATTAAGCATTTTTAGTCTTTAATATCTTTTTTTCTTAAAGATTTTATTTATCTTTAGAAGGGAAGGAGAGAGGGAGAGAATATAAATGTATGGTTGCCTCTCATGGGTCCCCTGCTGGGAACTGGCTTGCAGCCTAGGCATGTACTCTGATTGGGAATTGAACCTTGATCTCTGGTTTGCAGTCCGGCACTCAATCCACTAAGCTACACCAGCCAGGGCGGTCTTTAATATCTTTTCTTGGCAAGATTATAGATAGCTGTTTGAGCAAAGCGGAAGAAAAACTGCTACATACAGATTAGGTAACAATTCCTGAATACCAAATTACCTTTCTTTATCTTTTTGTCTCTTGTGTAATTTCAAAATGCTTTTTTTCCTCTATAGGTTTAAGGGGAAGTTTCCCAAATTAAGCCCTCCTGATAAATTGTGAATAAATTGGTCCCTTCCTCACTGCAATAAGTTATTGTATTCTTATGCATGCAAAACTAGTCTGAAACCAGTGGTTTGTTTTGAGGTAGTGAAATGTGAAGCAAATTAGGCTAACTGCAAAAAAAGCTTACAAAGTGGGAAGAAAGCTATTAAATGAGTTTTGCTACATGCATTTTATATATCTATATCTATATCAATAGTCCAGAAGGTATCCAACCATATAATATGAAAACTAGAGACATTTATTGAAGAAGATACAAGATACAAGAAACATTGTACATAGGACAATGACCCTCAGTTCCCTTCAAAGTAGGCACCTTGGGACCTCACACAGTTCTCCCAATTGCCATCATCTGCCCTGTCATATTTTCTTGTCTCATCACATCAATGGTCTGAAATCTCTTCTCTTTCAAAGGTGATTTTAGTTTTGGGAAAAGCCAAAAGTTGTAGGACACCAGATGTGGGCTGTAGCGGGGCTGAATCACTTGAGTGATTTGATGTTGCACCAAAAAACTGCATGAGGCGTGATACATTATCAGGTGTGTTGTGATGAAGTTGCCAATCACCAGTTGTCTATAGCGGCAGCCTTCTAAATCATCCCAATAGTTTCTGCAGAGGAATGTTCAAACTTAACACAAAATTTGAAGCAGATTCATTGCTGTACTCACTCAGTCATTTTGGATGTGATGGCCACACAGTACACATGCTTATTCAACATCATCTACCACTCCCACTGACTAGTACAGTGAAGTCATCATTATTTACGCATGTGCATTCCAGTCACTCTCCTTGTCCGCCAGTTTACATTGATGTTGTACAAACCATTTTCATTAACAATAACTGGACTTTTTCTGGACAGATACATATATATATAGTAATGAAGTTAAGAAACAAAACCTTATTCCTTATTATATGATAAGTTCTGAGCTATCATTTATGGCCCTGAAAAAATATTTTGAATGCTTACAGATTCTTCCTTATTGCAGTGATTACTAACCTCTCTGTTTTCATGGTACACTTTTGAGTAGTAGAAAAATTGGTGGCATGTTTGAGGGTATTTAAAGACTCAAAAGGACCCCCAACAAGTCAGCAATAATTACCGTATAGTTATGGTATAGCAATGTTCTTAGTGCCTGAAAGTATCCATGGGTTACTCTATTTTATGGTTGCTGTTAATATCAAGTTGTTAATAGAACCATTTACCTCACTGATCTCATTCTTTTAGATACAAAACAACATTCTCACATAAGCAGTGTTTCTTTGGCATTTATCTGATACTCTGCCATGTTTCTTAACTCATATCCATAGAAGTATATCCTCCCCTAAACAGAACTTCATAAACAATAATAATATTAATATTTACCTAAAGTAAAAATACATTGTACACTTGGATTAAATTTGTAGCATACCCCTGAAGAGTCTGTCACAGTACAATTGAGAACCTACATGTTAAATAAAGTGTGTTTACCCAATCCAGGTGCCAACAGGAGTTTTGAGTATTGAACAAAATTGTGGTGCTTCTGCACCTGACAAAAGTAACTAAAATAGTGAAGATGGATAGTGTAGCTTTTCTACAGAAACACATGACAAAATGTGTGGAGGGCATTAGTAAGAAGTGTAAGCCAAAGTATAAATATGTTAAGGAAAGTTTTCTATAACCCAATGCATGGTAGGCCCATAAAGCACTGTATATGAATATTGTGAGGATATAGTTCTTACTCTTCACCCTCTGCACAGTGCCTGTCGGAGGGGGTGCGACACCCACTTTTAATAGACTGCTTCAGGAACTGAACTTCAGATGGTTCCTGTTTCTAGCCACAATATGCTTTTAGCAATTTTGTCTTAAAACTTTTTAAAAGATTTTATTTATTTATTTTTAGAGAGAGGGGGATGCAGGCAGAAAGAGAGGGGTGTATGAAAGGAACATTCATTGCCTGCCTCTAGCAGTCCCCCAACTGGGGACCTGTCCTGTAATCCAGGCATGTGCCCTGACCAGAAATTGAACTAGTGACCTGTTGGTTCACAGGCTGGCACTCAAGACACTGAGCCACACCAGCCAGGGCAGTCTTAAAATTTTTAAAAATCCTGTTGAAATCCTAATTAGGTATAAACAACTATCTTGGCTGACTATTTCTTCATTCAGTAAACATTAATTGAATTCTCAATGTGCCTAGCACTGTTCAAGGTATATAAACACAGAAGTTAACGGGATAGATAAGGTACCTGCTCTAAGGGAGCTTAATTTTGATGAGGGAGTATAAATAATACACGAGTGCATAAAGATTAGCAAGAGAGTTTCAGGTAGTTATTAATGCTGTGAGAAAATGAAAGAGGGTAGTATGCTGGAGAGTGCTGAAGTGCATAGAGGAGAAGGGGTAGGAGGACAGTCCATGGAAGGCCTCCCTCAGCGACCACTGTTTGAGCTGAGACCCAACGGCCCGAGGAATCAGCCTCTGCAGGTCTGTGAGAGGGAATGGCCCTTGACGGCCAAATAGCACTGTAGTTAACATTGTGGGTGCTAGAGTCACATCCCAGCTCTATCACTTGACTAGCTTCATCTAGGATAACAATACCTATCTCAGAATGTTGGCTACATAAGAGTGAAGAGATGTAAAGAATTTAGAGCAGTGCCCAAACATTATCATTATCGTCAGCTGAAGACAACATGTTCCAGAGTACTGCTGTGCAAAGGTCCTAAGGTGGGAAGACTTCTTGTGTGTTTGTGGACAGAGAGACTGTCCTGAGCCTGGAACTTAGGTTAGTGAGAGGGAAAGAGGCAGGAGACAGGATCAGAGAGGTAAGAAGGGGACAAATGAGCAAGGCCTTGTGAACCAAGATTAATTCTGGTTTTATTCTAAGGGCAGTGGGAAACCACTGGGAGTTTTAAGCAAGAAAATAACCTTGTCTGACTTGTATTTTCAAAAACTCTTTTAGTCTTTAGAACAGAGAACGAATTATAGGAGTAGTTTGGAAGCAAGCAGATCAAAAAGAGGTGGTGGTGGTGGTTTGGATGGGGGCAATAGCAGTGAAGAGAAGAGAATCAGATAGACTTGGGATATGTTGTGAAGATAGATCTGAAAAGTTCAATTTTTTGCCAGTAGATTGGAATGTGGTGGGAGATGGAAAGCCTGTATATGCTGCCATTGCTTTGGTCTGTGTAGATGTATTCAGTGTGATTAATAGGAGCTGTTGATAAGTAGTTTAAACGGTCATCTTTTATTAGGCAACACACTAATCTGAAAAGCAGAACATTTTATGAGGTGTTAAGATATTGGTGCCTGCTGTAAATATACCTTCCTTGATCAATCAGTCAGATTGAAATTAAGGATTAGCTCTTCTGTAACATAATTACAAACGTAAATCTTTTTTTAATCCTCATTCAGGGACATGCTTATTTGCTTATTGATTTTAGAGACAGGGGAAGGGAGGAGACAGAGAGGGACAAAAACATCGGTGTGAGAGAGAAATATCAACTGGTGAACCTGCAGTGTAGGCATGTGCCCTGAATGGGAATTGAACTCACAACCTTTTGGTATGGGATGATGGTCCAATCAACTGAACCACACTAGGCAGGGCTAAACAAACTCTTTTTTTTTTTTTTTAAGATTTTATTTCTAGAGAGAGGGGAAAGGAGAGAAAAAGAGAGGGAGAGAAACATCAATGTATGGTTGCCTTTCATGTGCCCCCCAGTAGGGATGTGGCCTGCAACCCAGGCATGTGCCCTGGACTGGGAATCAAACCAGCGACCCCTTGATTCACAGGCCAGCACTCCACCACTGAGCCACAGCAGTCAGGGCTAAACAAACTTTTTTATTAGTTGCTTCAGGGACCAAATAATAAACTTAAAATTATCAACTACTAAAGGATCTACTCTTGATGCAATTTAAAAAATGAGAGATAGCTCAGAGCATCAAAGCTGGTGTTGGCTGGGAAACATGGGCAGGTGGGAAGAATAGACATTGTTTGCTTGGCAGAGAAATTACACCCACCATCAACAGAGAGAGGATGCTGTGTTACTAGCCTGTCTGAAGTGAAGCTGTTGCTGTAGGCACCTCTAGTCTCACATGCCTCTCCTATTGGACAGTGGTCCCTCAGTATCCTCTGGGAATTGGTTCCAGAACCCCCGTGGGTACCAAAATCTTCAGATGCTCAAGTTCTTTATATAAAGTGGCGTGGTATTTGCATATAATCTATGCACATTCTCCTGTAAACTTTAAATCATTTATAGATGACATAATGCCTAATACAATGTAAGTGCTATGCAAATAATTGTTATACTGTATGGTTTACAGAATAATGACAAGAAAAATGTCTGTACATATTCAGTATAGATGCAACCATTATAATCCTGATTACATAGTGCATGTCAGCAACCACGTCACACATTTTTTCCAAATATTTTTGAGCCGTGGTTTGCTGAATCTGCAGATGTGGAAACCACAGATAAAGAGGGTGAAGTATACTTACAAAAGAGCCTTCTGAACTTGGTTTGATTTCTCAGGTAGACCATCTTGCTAGGAAAATATTTTTTCTCTTTAAAATTAACTCCACTGCAAATCAGTCTTCTTTGAATTCAAGCAGATGAGGTAATTTCCCTAGGATCTGGTCACTTGTGATTAATAGAATACCATATCTTGTAACAGAGAAAAGTAACAAGAACACTGAGACTTTTTCTGATCATTCTAATACCTTCATTCCCACATTGTCAAGGCAGAAATAATGAAAGAGATAAATGAAGGGTATTTTTGTGTTCTGACATAAACTCATATCATTTGCCTATCTTTAACACCTTCTCCAGCTCTGTGGACCTACTATAGTGTATCTGGGTCAAATATTTGCTTCAACTATTAGACAATCATTTTACTTTAAATGGAGTACATCTGTCATGAGGAAATTTGTCCTTATTTATTTCTAGCTTTTTTAATAGTGAGGAAAGCATAGAGTTGTAGTACCTAGTTTTTAGTGCAGGATCAAGAAAACAAGACCTGACAGCATAGACCCTAGTTCCTTTTCTCATTTTCCCAGTTTTCCTGTTGCCATTTTAGTCTTCCCTGAATTACTGCAGTAGCCTCTTAATTGCTCTCACAGTTTCCACTTCTTCCCTTCTGCACTATTAAAATAGTCAGGGATCACCTTAAAAATGCAGATCCCTCCCATGTTTAAAATCCTTCAATGGACTCTGGTATACTTAGAATAAAATCTAAACCCTTTCCTGTGGCCAACAAGGCTCTCAAACTTCCTCTGCAAACTCATCTGCACTCTCCCCTTTGCTCACTCATCATCAGTCACTTGGCCTCCTCTCTGAACCTGGAAGAGGCCTTCTTTCCTGGTTTAGAACCTTTGTATTGCTGTAAACTCTGCCTGGGACACCCCATCTCCCCCAGATATGCACGTAACTGACCCCGCTTGTCACTGAGGGTCGGGTCAAACATGACCTCTTTAGCAAGGCCTTCCTTGGGCCTTCCAAACCAAATGAGCACCTCTCCCCTTCTGTACTCTCTGCACAGTTTCATAAGGTTCACAGCACTTATTACTACCTGAAATTATTTTATTTGTTTATGTGGTTATTGACTGTCTCTCCCACAGTCTGTATATTCTAGAAAAACAAGGACCTTTTTTTTCAAGGACCTTCATGTTCATCACTGTGACTTCAGTGCCTGACACAAAGTTCAGTAAATACCTGTTATTAAGAATGGTTTCTCAGCTAGTTCCACTCTCAGTTTATCTATGCTGGGCCACATACTTGACTTTGTGCCTTAGTTTTCCCAGCTTTGGGAATGGTAGCAATAGCACTTGCCATTTAACTCATTTTTAGCATGGAGGAGAAAAATTGTTATCTCTGTCTGCAAATATTACTCTTGAATAATGTAATGCTGTGAAATAAACAGGTAAGTAGGAAGTGTAGTAGATATTCAATGAAAATGTTTCTTATCTATTATCAGAAGATTCTGGATTCCTTTTTTTATGTATTTTTTAATTTTTTTCAATTATAGTTTACATTCATTGTTATTTTGTATTAGTTTCAGGTGTAGAGCATTGTGGTTAGACAATCATATACTTTACAGAGTGTTCCCCCCCAATATTTCCAGTACCCACTTGGCACCATACATAGTTATTATAGTACTATTGACTATATTTCATATGTTGTACTTTATATCCTCATGACTATTTTGTAACTACTAATCTGTACTTCTCAAAGGATTTCTTTTTTAAAGTAGTTTCTTACTCTATTTCTTTTGATGTTTCTAGAAAGTGACTGAGATATACCAGTTCAAATTCAAATACACAAATGAAGGAGCCACTATGGATTTTGATAGGTAAACCTAATTGTTTAATGAATATGAGAAATATGTATGATTGAACATAAGCCTTTTGAGGCCAGAGACAGGTCTTATACTTTCTTTGTAACTTCCCCAACAATCCTACAGAAAACCCACAACACCGTTAAAAAAGGGATTGTGATAATTGTTTAAATTTCTCATGGGACTACGGTCTTTTTTTGCTTCTTTCCTCTGTTTCTCATAGGTATGTTAGTAGGGTCTAAAGGCAGTTATTTTTAGTGGTTAAGAGTTTGAATTCCTAAGGCAGAAAGATCCAGCTTGGAACCCCAGTTCTGACTATTACTGGTTATATAACATTGGACAAATTACTCAACCTCCCTAAATATTAGTATTCTCATCTGCACAGTGGAGTTAACAATATATATTTCTAATGGTTGTTGTGATTATTAAGTTATAATGCAAAAATAATGCTTTGCTCATGCCTGGCACATAATAAATACACATAGTACCTAGTGGTGGTGATGATGGTGATGGTCCTTGAAGGACCATCCAGCCTACCAATGGTGGCTGGTAGACAACACAGCAGTAGAGATTATATTAATGAGGCTGTCTACATGGCATTGATTGAAGAACTCCATAAACTCTGTCTATCCACTAGATGAAAATTTCTCTATTGCTATGCCAAGATATAGATCCTCTGTGCCCTCAGAATAGCCAGACTGAACTTGGGATAGATGAAACCTCTGCAGCATTCTTATAGACATAATCATTCTCATCTGCTTACCTCAGTATGTCATACAGGTATAATTTTCTATGTGTGTCCCAGTATGGAAGTGACTGAAAAGCATTGTACTTTTGTATTAAGTCTAAAATTCCAAGGTTTAGATATACTAGTGGGTTAAATAGCAAAGACAGGACATTTGCTTCAGAAGGACCTTAGTGCAGATGGAGATGTTCTGTTGAGGAACAACATTCATTTTCTTCCCAGGGACTTTTGGGTTCAGATAGAGCAAAATATTGCTGATGAGGTAAAATAGAAGTGGAGGGGGTGGATGATGGTTAAAAAGTGCTAGGTAATAGAGGACTCCATGTCAGGGGGATGAGTTTCCCTGAAAGGAGTGTCTTTGAAGAGAAATGTGGCCTAATTCTCTATTTTTCATACTATTAGCTCTCTTTTATCATTTACTTCAAATTTGAGGATTTCTCTCCAAGATTTACTTCCTTAATTATTTTTTTCATTTATAAAACTTACAAAAGGCACTAGGATGTAAAGGGGAAGTTCTAAGAATGAGAACTAAATATTAACCATCATTAGCTAACTTTTGTGTAGCATTTTACAGATTGTTCAGCACTTTTAATACATATTCTCTTCCATAAAACAGTTGCCCTATATTCTCTAAAATTCAAATGCAAGTACTACTGACAACCAGAGTAATCTCTGTTGCTATGGAGGCATATATGTCAAGAGGCGAGCAGTAAAACAAATGTCAAAATCTTTCAGCTACTAAGAAGGAGAGAAGGCAATACACATTACTCATTTCCTAGAAACCAAAGGTGTACATTTGTTTAAATGATCATCATATAAAAATTACCTTATCACTTCTTCCATGGTAAAGATAATTTCCCTTTTAAAAGAGTGCAAGGGAGCCTTGAATATGATTCATTTGCACTCATATTCAAATTGAATAACCAGTTTGAATATGATTTTGCATAAATATAATGTATACTGAAGGATCCCATGAGCTACATGGCTGTGTCTGGTTACCTATTTCAAATTGGTTAAATCCTGGTATACAAAACTTAAGGTGGTTCAAAACTGAAATAGGAACAAATGTATTTACTTAATAATGTTTGTTTTATGAATTCACACTACCTCCAATAGTTTAATGACTTAGGATTATTTTTCAGTATTGAGTACTTACTATGTGAAAGGCATTGTGCAAATATATTATAATTATACTTTTTCCTGGAAACTACTCAAATGTGAGACTAATTGGAGAAGAAAACTTTTGAGAAAAAAGAAAGAATATTTAGAGTTGGAAGGTAATTTAGTCCAAATTATTCGTTCATTCCTTAATTCAACACGTTTATTGTATTGTATTCCTTAATTCCTTAATTCCTTAATTCCAACACATGTTTATTGTTTATTGTATTCCTTAATTCAACACATGTTTATTACTATAGCTGGGTGCCAAACTTACTTGTGGAGATGAAAAGTATAGCCATTCATAGTCTAGAGGGGGCCATACAAACAGTTATAAACAAGGGTGAGGTATGGGGTCATTGGGGAAGACATTCTTGATGAGATGACATATGAGCTACATATGAAAGGATGAATTTGGGAGAGTCAGGAAGAGAAGTGGGAAAAGCACAATAAAGCAAAGAGCAAATGCACATGGATTAAAAGTAACTGGGTAGCAAGTGCAAGTGAAGGTGGAGGTAAGCGCATGGCTGGTCATAAAAAGCATTGTACACACACCATACTCAAATTTGATTGCAAAGTGATGCATGTAATAGAAGAATTTTAAGCAAGAGAGTGGCAAGCAGATTTTCCTATTAGGAATATTATTTTAGCAGTGATATGGAGAATGTTTTTCATTGTGGACAAGAGTAGTCATTGTATAACCCATGTACCAGTAAAGAGGGAAAACTGAGAGATTCACAGATGATAGAAAGGCTCAGAGCTGATGACTGATTTTACACTTGAAGGGATTTAGAAATGTGTTGTAAGCTTATCTGATAAATGAACTAATTGACCTAGAGTGTCTAAGTGACTTGACCAAGGTCATTCAGATGGTTAGCAGAGCCAATATTAAATGTCAAGTCTCCTAATTCTAAATCTGTTGTTCTCAGCAGTATAGTATGTGGTTATTTGTAAATCAGATTTTAAAAAGTGAAGTCCTATTGAAAATACCTCAAGGGAATTTGCTATGTAAGAAATCCTTTGTATATACATTGCCAAAAGTATAATCTCAAATTTACATTCTAAAAATAGTCTCAAGAGTATCCTGATGTCTAATTTATATTTATTTGATCACATAATAAAAAGTTTTGGCCCTGACCAGTGTGGCTTAGTTGTTTGGGCATCATCCCACAAAGTGGAAGGTCACTGGTTTGATTCCTGGTAAGGGCACATGCCTAGGTTATGGGTTTGATCCCCAGTCTGGGTGTGTGCAAGAGGCAAATGAGCAATGTTTCTCTCTCACATCGATATCTCTCTCCCTTTCTCTCTCTCTCCCTTCCCCCTCTCTAAATGTATATATATATACATATATATATTCTTCAATATTGTATATGATAGAAAAGCATGCTGTTTTTCTTTGTGATTATAGCAGTAATACAAGCTTTGAAAGTGGGACAAAGAGTGAAAATATTAAGAAAGCCAGTACTCTGCTGATCCGTAAATTGTATATGCTGATGCAGAACCTTGGACCCCTTCCTAATGATGTTATACTTACTATGAAACTCCACTACTATAATGCAGGTAGGTAGAGACCTCTAGTCAAATTCCTTCATAAGTGTTGAAGTAATATTTTATGTGAATAGAAGGATTTTGCAAGCATCAGAAAGATGTCTGTTGCTACCCATGAAAGATTAATCTGATTTGTTCTGTTGAAACTCAGTTTTCTGCCCTTTTTATTTTGCAGTGACCCCACATGATTACCAGCCCCCTGGTTTTAAAGAAGGGGTAAACTCACACTTACTGCTGTTTGAGGGGGAGCCTGTAAACCTGCAAGTGGGAATGGTGTCAACTGGCTTTCATAGCATGAAAGTAAAAGTCACAACTGAGGCCACCAGAGTGTCCGATTTGGAGAACAATCTCTTTCAGGAGGATAGCACTACCGAGATTGCCCATCAGGGTCTAGACTGCGATGAGGAAGAAGAGGAATGCAACAATCATGTAAGGCAAAGCTTTAGTGAGCCTCCGTTGCTTCAGTTAAACACAGTGACATTTACTGTTACTGTATAGGTCTTACTACAGGGACAGGGTCTAACAGAGTGTGCCAGGTATCAAATCTGAACGAAACTGCCCCCAACTTTAAGGAGTATTTCTCCTAAAAGAGGACAGTCTTTGTTAGATAAATTGGCCATGAGAAGAAAAGACTTTTTAATATACTTCTTTTAGAAAAGATACCCATGAACTTAGAAAATTGTGGATTTTCTTTAATTTATAAGTAATAAACATATTCAAAAAGAATCTTGAGGTTTTGCTAGAAGTAAATGATAGAGATTTATTTAAGGGTCTTAGAATCTGTAAACTAAAAACAGAGTTAGGCAAAAACCTAGGAATGTTCCAAAGACAAGAAAAAGTTGTTATGGCAAAAAGTACACTTTTGAGTATTATCAGTTCTTCATTCTTAGCCGTAGGATTGATCCAGGATAGTTATCAGTCAGGTGATGGGTAGTTAGGATGTTAGATGCCACATGGTCCAGAAAGATGGGTGTGAGAAGATCTGGTCACATCCCAGTGGTCTAGATGCGGATGTCAAGTGGATGTATATGTGAGTCCTTTTTAAAAAAAATTCATCTGTTTTAGGCAGAGAGAAAGAGAGAGAGAAAGAGAGGAAGAGGAACATCAATGTGTGGTTGCCTCTTGTGCATCCCCCACTGGCGACCTGGCCTGCAACCCAGGCATGTGCCCTGACTAGGAATTGAACTGGTGACCCTTTGGTTTGCAGGCTGGCACTCAATCCACTGAGCTGCTCCAGCCAGGGCTGTATTTGTGAGTCCTTTAAGGGGCAATCAGATGGTCTGGATATGCGAGTCCTTCGGAGGGTAATTAGAGTGTTACCTGGAGGTCCAGTTATATATTCAGGTGTTGACGTAGGACCGTAAAGTTGATGAAGTTGATGTACAGAAATACATACATTTACTCAAGACTGGAATGTTAAAAAAATTTAAGTTTCCAGAGTAGTTATAACAAGAAGTGTCTTTCCTCATGCCTCACCTTTCATAATGTTTGGATTTTAGCAGTTTGGTTAAAATGACTCCATTTTATATATTCCCTGTCTTCACTCTTTCCTCAGTATTTTGAGATTTAAAAAATATTCTGGGTGTTTATTTATATTCACTGGAAGTGTAAATAAGTTCTTAATTACTGGATTAACTGGGTGGGAGGGGGTTAGGCGAGACAAAAGTTATGGATAAACAGAAGTCAGAGTGAAAATAAAGTGAGAGTCAACTCTTGGTCCTGTGGATAAGAAACAAGCTTTGGGTCTAGGTTTTTAAGGAAAGCCAGGGGACTAGGGAAGAGCCACTGGAACCAAACAGGCAGGGCTCTGAGCCCTTTACCTTCCTATTCCTCTGAGAGAGGCTTGAAGTTGAGTACTTGCTAGGGTCCCACTGTGTTCTTGGTAAATTCACACTCCGTTGTCTGGATAATAAAGTTTACTGGATGCCAACATTGTATTAAAAGGGTTCTGAGATAGACATAAAGAATTTTCAGATGCACACTAGAAAGAGATGCTATAAAATCTTTATAAGGGATATTTTAAGATTAGAATGCTAATTTGCTTGAGATTGTTTTGAGTCCGACTTAAAAATAGATGTCTACAGTAGGTAACCTTTGAAGGTTCCTGCTGGTTCTTTAACTCTGTATTGTTTATTACACTGAAAAAAGTCTTAATTTAATTAATATACATAACCAAACAGGATTTTTTCAATTTTAGTACATATTTTCACAATGTCATATATGATAATAGCTTTAAATTTTGGTGTAACTTTCTTCTGATTCTACTCAAGGAAAATATAGCTAGCTAATATAAATTGGTTTACAAAATAAAGGCTAAGAAGAGAACAAGCATGTATCATGTGGGTTTTCATCTTTTAAAATTGAGAATTTTTTTATACTAACTGAAATGAAAACTGGACAACTTGAAAATTAATAATTCAATTGATAGATTAAATAAGACATGTGATGACACTTTCTAAGCATACATTCAGTAGGAACTATATATAGTTGACCTTGGAACAACATGGGTTTGAACTGTGCTGGTCTACCTATGTGCAGATTTTTTTTCCAGTAAATGCCTGTACTGTTTTCAGTCCACCCTTGGGAATCTATGGATGCAGAGAGCCAATCTTATGTATTAATCTATGCCATTTTATGTAGGGAACTTGAACATCTATGGATTTTGTTATCTGTGGGAAGGGGAGTGGTCCTAGAATGAATCCTTCACAGATACTGAGAGACAACTTAAGTTTTGGGCGAGTTAAAAAAGAACTCATGGACATGGACAATAGTGTGGTAACTGTGGTGGGGGGTGGGCAGTAAAAGGGGACTAAATGGTAAAGGAAAAAATACAATTAAAAAATAAGTTTCAGGTGAGTTAAAAGTTATACTCAGATTTTTGACTATTCGGGGGTTGGCACCCCTGACGCCCACACTGCTCAAGGGTCAACTATACACAAAGATTGAGACTTTGCGGTAAACTGTCAATTCAAGTTCCTCTCTCAGCTCTCCAATCACATGAGAAAATAAGTTAGTAAGTCTAGTGAAGCTTTCTGACATTTTCCCACTAAAAATTCTGTTGCTCCTTCATGGAATACACATATATACACATGTTCTATGTATAACCATTTGCTGCTTTAAAAATTATTTTGAAATATATCATGCATATGGTAGAGTATATAGAAACAGTATGTACAGTTTAAAGAATAATGAGAACATCCATATACCTTCCATTCAGGCTGAGAAGTATCTGTCATTGTCACTACCTTAGAAGCCACCATATGACCTTTCTTTATGGCACCCCCTCCTTCTCCTCCAAAGGTTAACACTCTACTAAATTCTATGATGACCCTTCCCTTAATCTTCTTTATGGTTTTACCATCTGTGAGTGTATCTGCTTGTCTAAAATTTTTATACAAATGTAATTGTACTTTAGTAGGTATTCTTTGATTTGCTTGACTATCAAAAATGAAATTTGTCCATTTGCATGTGGTGGTTCATTCATTTTCACTGCTGTAGAATATTCTATCTAGTCATAATATATATTCTTTTTTTAAATTGTTATAAATATTCATGTACACACCTCATGGTACACATGTATAAGAGTATCTCAAGGGAATATACCCAAGAGTCATAGGGCTTGTGTATTTTCAACTTTATTAAGTAATGCAAAACTGTTTCCCAAAGTAGTATCAATTGATACTCTACCAACAGTGGAGGAGAATGCCCTACATTCTTGTCAATACTTAATATTATTAGAGTTCATTTTTCTACCTACCTACTGGATGTAAAATAATAATATCACATAGTTTTGATTTTCATTTCCCTGATAATTACTGAGTTTGAGCATATTTTCATGTGTATTGGCCATTCTGCTTTTTTTATGTAAAAAACTCTTCAAGTCTTTCATAAATCTTTCTGTTGGGTTATTTATCTTTTCCTTATTGGCTTTTAAACATACATTCTGCATAATAATTCTTTTTTGTGACTTAAAATAACACAAATGTATTGTTTTATAGTTCTGTAGGTCTGAAGTTTGACATGGTCTCACCAAGCTAAAATCAATATTCTGGCAGGCTGTATTTTTTTAGAGGTTGTAAGGGAGACTTCATTTCTTGCTCATTTGGGTTGATTGACAGAATTCAGCTCCTTGCAGTTGTAGACCAAGTTCTATGTTTTCTTGCTGGCTATGAACTGCCAGTGATTCCCAGCATCTAGCAGGGTATCCAGCCCATGGGCCATCTGCAGCTCAGGATGGCTGTGAATGCAGCCCAACACAAAATCATAAATTTACTTAAAACATTATGAGATTTTTTTGTGATTACATGTCATAATGTATTTAATCTGTGGCCCATTGTGGCCCAGAGACGCCAAAAGATTTGACACCCCTGGTAGAGACTGCTGCTTTCCCCGCCTCATGGTCTCCTTCCTCCATCTTCAAAGCCGTCAGTGGTGGGTTGAATCCTTCTCACTAGTCACATCTCTCTGATGTGCATGATTTTTTTTGTACTTATTCATGTCACTATTTTTTTCAGGTTTATAGCTCATCTTTCGATTTTAAGATGTCTTTTGGTAAAGAGTTCTTAATTTTAATGTAGTCAAGTCTTTTCCTATATGAACTTTTGAATATTCTTAAGAAATCCTTCTTTACCTGAGGTCATTTATAATATTCCCCTATATTTTATTATAAACATTTTTTATTTTTACATTTACATTTAGGTTTTTATTCTACCTCAAGTTTATTTTTTCATTTGTGGTGTGAGGTAGACCAGACCCCTTAACACTTTTTAATTCAAGTACAATATATATGCAGAAAAATACATCATAATGATACAACTCAATAAATATTTACAGAATGAACACCAGGGTTGATGTGATGATGCAGCAAACAAGGTGAGAGTGAGTTCCTCCTTAAATTTTGCTCCCTAGGTATCTTCTTTGCCTCACCCTTGCCACAGCCCTACAGGGTAAACATGTTAAATCAACACCTAGATTAAGAAACAAAATACCACCAGTCCCCCACACCCACGGAAAACCCAGTCTTACTTTATAGTGACTGTTTCACCCAATAAAAATCTGTCTATTCTGATTTCTATTTGCATATATTAGTTCCTCTTTTTTCTATATTACAGATGTAGAATCACAGAGTATGAACCATTTTTTTCACTGAACATTTTGTTGTGCTCTTTCTCCATAGTTGTGCATATTGTTGTAGGCCATTCTCATCACCTGTCCAGTCTCGATGGGCATTTGGTTAATTTCCTATTTTTGACTGTCATGAATAATATTTCTCTGAACATTCTGAACATGTTTTTTAGTGAAATATGTACACATTTCTGGTGGGAATAAAATTGCTTAGGAGTAGAATTTCTGGGTCAAAGGATATGTGTACATTTAGCTTTTAATAGATACTACAAAACAATTTCCAATGTGGTTGTGCCAATTCACACTTCCATCAGCAATATAAGAGAGTTGTGGTTGCTCCACATCCTCACCAACGTTTGGCAGTTTCCATCTTTTTAATTTTAGCCATTCTGGTGGGTGTGTAGTAGTATGTCATTGTAGTTTTAATTTGCATTTCCCTGAATGACTAATGAATTGAGCACCTTTTCATATGTTTACTGGCCATGCTAGACATCCTCTTTTGTAAAGTGTCTTTTCAAGGTTTGCAGTT